ATGCCAACAGGCAAAAGATGGAATACAAATGTTATTTTTGATTTACATGCCTCTAATTTAAAAATCACAAAAGTCTAATTAGGAGAAATGTAAAGAAATGCACCTATAATAAATCATGATTTGATTATAGTTTGTTAAGCCTGAATATTATCATTGCTTCACCATCTTTGGCATTTTACACCAGCTTTTGACACCTGCTTAATCAGTGACGTTACACCAATCAAAGCCATTGTCTGAAATATTGAAAATGCTATCTGTTCTATGTCGCATGGAGTAATGGACAACAAAATAATTTTGTCTGTCATACAAAAAATTTATATATTAAAAGTCAAGACAAATAATTACATAGGCTTAGTTACATTTTATAAAAACGATCAACATGTGTTCTTGCATTGCCCTGTCACCAAAGATACGATTCGTGGCATTACACACAACATGCTGAGCACCTGTAAATTTGATTCAAGGAGAATTCCTAATCATTCAACAGTGATGTTGTGGGTTAATTTGTGGCTATGTCACAGGTCTTTCCGAGGAAAGACATTTATATAAGGAGATTGTCAAATTATTTTGAGCTAAAGTAAAGATTATTATTCCTTGGAAGCAAGAACACTCGCACAACTAGTGTTTAGGAGAGCAAAAAACTCCTAACCACACGCCAAGCCAATCAGAAACAATGGCTTCATTCGTAAAGTGAAGGTTATGGTCACGAAAGAGGACCCTCTGACCCAAAATGCTTTTGCGATGAAACTGGCACATTTTCTGCTACTTTTAACATGATAATAAACACATATTTGAAACTTATGAAGGTTCATAAGCTTACAGACACACCTTCAAAGTAGCTGTTTTCCACAAAAAGATAACCAAAGAAACTGGAATCATAGCAATATCATTCATACCTGCCAAGTCCTCTGATGTGGCTCCAATGGACTTTCTTGTTTTTGGTCTGCTTAAAAGTGGTCTTGGAAGCCGACATCCGCCTGTATAAAGAGTATGTTAAAATGTGTGATCTAATATTGGCTTCATGGTCTTTCGCAAAAGCTGATTAAAATGAAAATTGTGGCAACTGTTATTATAAACTACGATTAGTCTTAAGTATCACAAGTATGGACTATCTGATAAAATGGATTTA